GCTCGACCTGACCGGAAAAAACCGTAGCAGGAAGCTAGCGAAGTCGTAGCATATATCGTCACAAACAGAACTGCCCGGTAAACCGTAGGCAGAGAGAGAGAAGAAGACAACAAACGAGGGGCTATATATATATATAAACTCCAACGAAACAGTTTGCCACAGCCCGTCGTTTGTTGTCCTCTTCTCCCTCTCTGCCTACGGTTTACCGGGCAGCTCTGTTTGACTATATATATATATATCTGTTTGACTATATATCGTCAAATAGAACTGCCCGGTAAACCGTAGGCAGAGAGGGAGAAGAGGACAACAAACGAGGGGCTGTGAATATATATATATATTTTTTCCTCAAATTTTAAGCCCTTCAAACTGGGGAACAGACCCCCGGGGCACTACTAGCAAGCTCTACTCTGTGCGGGGAGTAGTACCCAAGCTCAATTAAGTTATATTTGGAATTTTGGATTCTTGGAATGAAAATTTGGGGTCAATTTGGACTGAGTTGTAACAACTTTGCATGGAATTTGGACTGAATATGGAATAAATTACATGCGAGTGCTTGGGGGAAAGGCCCGGCGACTGGAGACACTGACTACCCTATGCCCCTAACCTTGCCCCTCTGGGACCTGCATAGTGTGTGGCTGGGTACTGCATAAAGGCTTCCTGGCCACTATGTGGGCCCCGGGTGGGAACAGTCTGCTTCTTTGCTCTTTCCTGTCTGTTGTCCATGCTTGCCGGTAATAAGCAACTGGACTGCTGCCCCCCAGAATAGATGGGCTCCATGTGGTGGTTGACAGAAAAAAAAAAAAAAAAAAAAAAAAAAAAAAAAAAAAAAAAAAAAAAAAACAGCATCGAAATTTGCATTGAATTTGGACTGAACCTGTAATAGATCTGGATTGAATTTGCATTGAATTGAATGTGTCTCTTTGGAGTTGAGTTGAATCAGGTACCTTGGTCCTTGGTGAGGTGGCTATAAACAAATATGGGCGTAACATTATCATGGTGTTTGTATTCCAAGCTCAGGAGAGCCGTGAAATGGAGCGGGTGGTGGAGGTTGTTCTTCATGGGGAAGTCTCAGCAGGAGGGCATCCACCTCGGCTGTCGCAGAAAGTTTGACGGTGTTGTGTAGTTGGGAGGTGGAGGGGGTTGAGCGGGTGGGTAGAGGAAACGGTTGAATCTGTAGAGACATGGCTGCTGGACAGCTGGGGTTGAAGGTGGTGGTTCCACGGCTGATTCCAAACCGCCGAAGAAGTTTTGGAGGTGTGACTTCTGGTGCTCCCCTCATACCAGGAATACCTGTTGCGTCTCCGCCCGCTCTCAGAGGACAACAAGCTACCGCTGGGAATGAGGAAAGTCGTAACACTGCATTTGTGTCGCTTCCATCTGTCAGCAATCGATCAAACGTTCCAGCTTCACTGATGGCAGCGGCGACAGGAGGAGGAGGGGGAGGAGGAGGGGGGGGAGGAGGAGGAAGTTCTCGGACGGGGCAAGGCATGGCTGGCAGTGGCTGGGGGTCCGGCACTTTTGGTAGCCACAAGGCTGGGAGCAGTAGGGAGACACTGATGCCGCAACATCGTCGGATGCAGCAGCAGCATGGGGTTGATCCCCTGCTGCACCCAAGATCTATTGCAACACCACCTCCTCCTCCTCCGAGAAGTCCGCGAGAAGTAGCAAAAGTCGTCGGTGACAGTATGGACGAGGGTAGCGATGATGTGCTAACTGCAGCCCCTATCCGATTTGACCAACTGCCAAGGTACAAAATCATCTTAGAATCGGACACTTCGCTTTCACCCAAGTCCCCTCGCACGTCTGAGAAAGCTCGGCTGACTCCCACTCAAGGTCCAGGGAGGGCCAAAGTATATGGGGAACTCTTGACACTCCCGAACGATGGCATTCTGTCGCAGCACATGCATGTGCGAGTTCACTTAAACACGCAGAGTATGGAGGACCCTAGTGAGCTCTTTCCCACAGCAAAGGAGGGGGGGATTGGACGGATGAGATCGCCACCAAAGGTGCCGATGGCGGCAAATGCAGGCAGAGGTGCACAGGCAGGGGGAGGTGGTGGTCTGGACAGTCCCCCAGCATCAAAGCCGTCCAACATCGCAACAAGGCTAAAGGATGAAGTGCAGTCAACACACCTTTGGAGGGAAGAGGCAGGAAGCAAAGTGAGTGTAGCCACGCATCAAGGCCCTGTGAAACCTGTGTTGATGTCATTGAATTCGCCAACATCACCGAGGAAGGGTTACACATCAGCAGCGGTGGCGGCTGGGGGGGTTTTGGGGTCGTCGGCTGCAGCTGGTGCGGCAGGGGCTGGAGTACCGGCGAGCTATGTGGATGCAGTAACTGAGGAAAAGGGAGTAGGAGCAGCAATTTGGCGGCCAATTGTTCGGTTCAGAAGAGCTAATCCCCCACCATATGATCAACGGCTTCCTGAAAGGATTGATGCTGATGAGCAGAAGTTCAATCTCGAGAAAGGAGGACATGGGTGCAAGGAGAAGATTGCTGACTATGCTGTTCTAGCAGAATCTTGTCGAAGATCTAACGATCCAGAGCGATTGAGGGATGAGGCGCGGTCCTATCTCTGCATGGCCATCTTGCATGACAATGCACAAGACTATCAGAAGGCCATCGAATGCTACCAGCGCTACGTCGCATTAGCCAAGAGACTACGCGACATACCGGCCGAGGCATATGGATACAATTGCATAGGATGTGCGTATCAGCAAGCAACAGACTTGGGAATCGCTTCCCTTTGGGCTGCAACTTTGACTTCTTCTTCTGTGTCTAGTACTACTCTATCAGCAAATGGTAAAACCCCTCAGGATAGGGGTGCTAGGGGGGGCTTACAGCGACGGCTGCAGCAAAGAGTTGAAGACTTGCCCACAGAAGCTGTGATTGGTTATGAGAGAGCAATAGAGTTCCACCGTAAACATGCTGATATTGCAGATTCCCCTGGCAAAATTATAGCACACACCAACCTAGGTTTGCTGTATGCGCAGCTAGCAAGATGGGAAGATGCTGCAGACAATCATAAGCAGGCAATGCTGCTGGCCTCAGAGCTCAGGAGCTTAAGTGATCAGAAGGTGGCAGTTGGAAATCTGGGGTTCTTGTTGCTTCAGAGGAAGAAATTCACACCAGCACGGGAGTGCATGGAACGATATCTGCAAATATGTCGAGTATTGCAGGACTCGCGCGGCCAAGCACGAGCACTCTACGGCTTGGGGAGCATAGCGCTGCAACTGCAAAAGTCTGATGCTGCTGCTGAAAAGTTTGAGTCCGCACTGAATGTGGCAAGGCTGGGAGGAGATGCACAGGTGGAGAACTATGCCAGGGTTTACATCGGGATCTCAAGGGGCCAGCTCATGTATGCCAAGATCGCTGAAGATCTTCGGCAGCCAGATAACTTGCGCAGAAGTTTCGTAGCCTTTATGGATGATGGTAGGGATGATGTACCTTCCTTAAGTTATGCAGCGGCAACCGCAGCAGCAGCTGTAGCTGCTGCCTCTGCCACACCTGCCGATACAATCTCCCCCTCTGGCCCCACCCCAGCCTCCACCGCCGGATCACCAAGAAGCCCTGCATCGCCCGAAAAGCCCAACTTGGCTCGGCCATCTGCAACGCCTTCTGGAGACCTGCCAAGGCCATCGCGAACTCCCACTTCGGATCTGCCTCGACCATCACGAACACCCTCTACGGATCTGCCTCGACCATCACGAACACCCTCTACGGATCGGCCTCGACCATCGCGAACACCTACTGCTGATCTACCTCAACGGTCACAAACACCGACTGCAGATCTGCCTCGACCACCGCGAACACCTACTGCTGATCTACCTCAACGGTCACAAACACCGACTGCAGATCTGCCTCGACCATCACGAACACCCACTGCTGATCTATCCCAACGGTCACAAACATCGACCGCAGATCTACCCAGATCATCTGGAACACCCACGATTGATCTATCCCATCGATTTCAAGCACCCACTGCAGAGCTATCCAATATGTCACAAACACCCACGGTCGAGTCACCTCGACAAGCACAAATAACCACTGTTGATCTACCCCGACCATCGTGAACGGGCACTGTTGATCTGCTTCAGCCACCAGGAGCAATGGGCAGCGTTAATGTGGCTCAGTGGAGCGAGGAACAGGCAGCGTTGGTCTGCCACAGCCACCCGAAGTAACACCCACCATTGATCTTCCATCCATATCGCCTACAGTTGGCTCTCCGCATTAGGGCATTGATCCTCCCAAATCATGGTGATGCCATTTCCATTGCAAGTAGCCTTGACTGTTTGCCTTCCACCTGCCCATCTGGATTTGGTTAGATGACAGATCTCCATCATCTCCCGAGTTGTCCTGCAGTTGTCCTGCTGCCTTGCCTTTGCTACCCACTTATTCCCTGTTTGCTGCTTATCTGTAGCTCTGGTTACTGGTAGTGGGGCCAAGGTAGGTTCAGTTACTAGACGGAAGATAAGATGCAGCTTGCAATCGCTCACGTCTTAGGTGGTCTTGAATTGTTTGGGTCCTTTCTAGGATTGACACTTCTCAGTTTCCTTTTGTTGGTGATGATGCTAGTATAGGGTGAAGAATCTCCTCATATAAATAAGGGGCTGAAGGAAGGGTGAATACCCCTGTTGCAGTAAAGAGGTCACCATCTTTTGCGCATACTCTTACTCTCGCCTTCTGTCTCATCCACACTCTCTGAGTATGTCCCTTTCCTCGTTGCCCTCACTATTGCTCACTTGCTCACTCCCTCTTCCATCCCCCTCCCTCCCTCCCTCCCTCCTCCCTTCCTTCCTCCTCCCTTCCT